GTGGGGGGTGACTGGGAGTTACCCGGAAGGACACGGGCTTCCGGGTGGAACTCGTCTTCTTGGCCGGTGGTATCGTATTCTCTTCCCTTGTTATTTTCCCTTATCACTGTTGTAGTTGATAGTAGCGGTGGTGATTTGTGTACATTGGTTGCTGGACTGTTCTTGTCTCAACCCGTGGGAGTTGCACTCTTTCGATCCTCCTCCCCGTTCCTCCGGGAGTGGGGGAGAACCCCGGTGGGGGGGGGGACACGGACCTCGATTGTTGTCAGCTCGGCACCACTCACTGGGAGTGAGTGAACAAGTTACCTGACTGGGTTTAAACCACGACAGTAGGACTGAAGTTTTTTCAGGGGTGAACTGTGTACTTGAGAGAGAAATACACGGTACGCTGAGGGTAACAGCATTTACTAGAATGCCACTTAAGGCAACCTTGGCCTTTTCACATAACAAAGTTGGCTCTTGCACAAAAAGACAAGCACCAGTCCCTTCAGCTCAACTGAGGACACTACATACACAGGACCACATGGAAGCTGAGATTTTTCCCAGTACCATCCAGCACAGACATGATGAGCCGTGAATTCAGGAGACAAGTCAGCACAAATCAAACCCCTGTCCTTTTCAGTACTAGGCTATAACATGAGAACTCAGAGGAAGGGAAGTAAGAATCACTGCATCTCTTACCATTACACATCCCTTTTATTCAGAAACTGGTAGCTGAAAGCCCACAACACGGTCACCCCTCAGGGCCCTCATTTCTCCCGGGTTTGCTGCCCTGGAAGAGGACGTGTCTTACTCACTGAAGAATGGGGTTGATTGAAGAATAGGGTTGTAAACAAAGAACCTCGAGGATGTTAGGCTTTGTTAGCAACTATAGAGAAAAGGAAATTACTAAGATAAGCTTTGCCAGAACCGCCTGGTGGTGTGTGCCTGTGGGATCCCGTGTGTGTGTGGGAATGCAAGACTGACAATGGGAAATTGGCAGAGTGAAGACATCTTGAAAAGGAGTCCTTTAGGGTGCATTTTGGCACATTGGAAAGAACTGGGAGGGTTTCCTGGGGGCTCAGTAAATAAGAAAAACGTTGGTGAAATATTGTAACCAATGGTGGCCATTGTATACTCTGGAGGATCAGGAGAAATGGCCTAAAACTGGAACTCGGAATTATAATACATTGTTGCAATTAATGTTACTTTTAAGGCAACAAGGAAAATGGGATGCAGTGATGCATGCAGATATGTTTTTCACTTTAAGAAACCACCCAGAGTGGCAGACGGAATGTGAAATTAATATAGCTCTGCCAGATCCCTAATTTTGGCTTTAGGAAAGGACAGGGAAAAACAGAAAGCTAAGCTGGAGAGATGTTGTTTAGCCTGTGATATTGGGGAAATTATGTTTAAAGTTAAAAAAAAAAACAAAAAACAAACACCTAGACAGAGTAATCGGGAAGACAGGTCGGGGGATTATGTATCACAGGTACCTCCGAGAGGAGCACTCTCGGCAACTGCTCCATCTGTTACTGATAAGGAGGAAGAGGTTGCTGTCACTGGCAACAGAGCAGAAGGACTTGAGAATGTTAAAGAAGCGTGGAGAGCGTACAGGAATCGGGAACAGATAGAGAAGAGCGAGCTGAGTTGTGCTATGGGCACGCCTACAGTGACTGCTTTGGGACAAGTAGAAATTGGTGGAGGGACTAATGCGAGAGGACGAGGCAGAGGTAGAGGAGGAATGTCAGGCAGAGGTGAGAGATTGAATTTTCCTGTGGGATGGAATCAGTGTGCATGCTGTAAGGAGTTTGGACATTGGAAGTGAGACTGCCCTGGGGGAAGCTCCATGGTGTGGCTCCGGTGACTGAATTGGAACTAGACTGACAAGGACCTGGGGAATCTACCCTAGCAGATCCACTCATTAAATTAAAACTAGGCACTAGAGGAAATAAAGTGGAATTTCTAAGTGGTTACAGGAGCAACTTATTCAACGTTAAATCAGAGGAAAAGAATTTGTTACAGATGTGGTAGCTACTAGTCACCAAAAAAACAAAACAACAAAAAAACAATGAAAAAACAACAACAAAAAAAAAACAACAAAAAACCCCAAACCCACATTCTTTCTGAAACCTGTAGAGTATAAACTGGGAAAACAAATCGGAATGCATAAATTTTTATGCATGCCAAATTCTCAAAAAATCTTTTATTAGGGCAAGAAGCAACATTTAAAGAAGGCAAAATGGAATTAAGAGTCCAAACAGATCAATTAATTGAAGTTTTGAGTTTATCTTTAATTCAGCAGAAAAGCAAACAGGAGGACCTCCCTGAAATAGAAGAAATCCTTAAACAGGTGTATCTGGGAGTATGGGCATCTGAAGTTCCAGGTAAGGTGAAAAATGCTTTGCCTGTTGAAGTGGAAATAAAAGGGGGGCTGCCCAATTAGAATAAAACAGTATCGCTTAAAATTGGAGGATCGAAAGGGAATCAAAGAAATAATTAAAAAAAAATATGGATTATTAATTGAATGTGAATTAGAATATAATACTCCTATCTTGCCAGTAAAGAAATCCGATGGGAAAAGTTAGAGATTAGTTCAAGATCTCAGAGCAATCAACAAAATTGTGGAGGATATTCATCCAGTAGTAGCTAATCTATATACCTTATTGACTAAACTAATACTAATCAGGAGTGGTTTACCGTTCTGGACTTAAAGGATGCATTTTCCTGTCTGCCCCTGGCCAAAGAAAGTCAGAATTTATTTGCTTTTGAATGGGAAAACCCTGAAAAAGGAAGAAGGACACAGCTCACTTGGACGGCGTTACCTCAGGGATTTAAAAACAGTCCAACCATTTTCAGAAATCAATTGGCACGAGAATTAGAATCCTGGGAAGCATCCACTCAGACAGGAACTTTACTACAGTACGTGGACGACCTGTTAATTGCTACCAAAACTGAGAGAAAATGTGTTCAATGGACTGTAGAACTGTTAAACTTTCTGGGGCTAAATGGATACCGGGTATCTAAATGGAAGGCTCAACTAATTCAAACTCGAGTATCTTATTTAGGATGCAAAGTAACAGGAGGACAACCAGAACTTGGAGCAGCTCGGAAGGAAGCAATCTCTCAAACACCGTGACCGTCCACAGTTAAAGATATCCGGACATTTCTGAGAATGCCGGGATGGTGCCAACCCTGGATCCATGATTATGGTGTTCTGGTAAGACCCTTATACGAGCTGCTAAAAGAAAATCCAACCTTTCTAAAATGGACAGATCAAGCTGAAGAAACATTTAAAAGTTTAAAGACAGAGCTCATGAGAGCTCCAGCTCTGGGGGTCCCGCACATAACTAAACACTTTTGGCTATATTCCTATGAGAAATAGGGTGGGGTTTCTCAGCCTTGGGGGTTTTGCAGGTATGCAGATACGACTGATAAGACAACGATCTTAAAACAATGTGATGAAGAAATAACCACCAGGGGTCCGAAGCCCCACTACCACATTTTTGTAGGCACACAGGAGGCATTCTCTAAAAGTATGATGTAATGTATGTAATCTAAGGAACATGTATGTTTAAGGACAATATAATCACAGCCTGGTTGATGCTCAGCAGAGAGATGCTTGGAGGAGCTATCCCCCGTGTCTCCCGGCGCCGCAATAAAGAATACCTGCTTGTCAGCTTGAAAACTGTGTTGGCGAGTTTCTGGAGTTTTCATCATCAACAAGCAGGCGGCTCGAGCAGCTGCCCTCTTCCACTGCAGAGGCTGGAATGTCATTTCTTTTGCTTCATGAGCTCTGCTCATCAAGACCTGGCTGAATGTTCAGGGTAAACACATACCTTGCCGGTGCCCTACCAGAAGCCTCCTGGGAGGAATCCAACAACTACAAGAGGCAGGATAGTGGGGCTACAAATTGGAGACAAGGCTTAATACAAAACACCTCAGCACTCCAAACATTTCTTTCCCAATAACAGTGTTCAAACCCTCAGAGAAAACATCCCTGTTTCATCTAGCCAGCAGTTAGTTTGCCCCAGACACATTTCCACAGCAAGTTTCACGCTCAAGATGCACAGCCATTCTTCTCAGGGTAGGAAGACACTTAATCCCCACAATCCAGTGCCTTTTGAACGAAGTAGACACTGCTGTGGCAGGGAAGCAGGACTGAAGCCCTGGCTTTGCTTTTGACACTCTTCGGAGAAGCTCAGTAATTTGCAAACATCCAGGTGGTACAGAGTTCAAGTTTGCTGTTCAACCAGCTTACAACTTCAGGCTATTTCCCCACATGCAGACCTTGCATCCTTGCTTTAACGAGCAGCAGCAGAACATGGTTGGACCCACCAAAGCATCACTGCAGTGGAGACAAACCCCAGAACCCCAGGCCTAGCAGCTTGAAGAGCCTTCACAAAGGTAACCTGGCACTCACCTCAGAAGAGCTGCACACCTTCTCCTCCTCCCACGGGGAGGTTTTGGGGGCTGGAAACGGGGCCTCACAAAGTAATTTTTACACGGCACGAGCCCCCGCGCAGGCGCAGTCCATGGAAGGCAACGTGGCAGCGTTCAACGGACGTTTATTGTGTGGGGTCATTGCGAGCGGCACCAGCCATGGGAGCTGACCCTGGGGTCACCCGGTCCCAGCCCTGCCAGGGCAGAGGCACCTGAACGTGTCCAGGCAGGGCTTGGATGTGCCCAGAGAGGGAGCCTCCACATCCCCCTACGCAGCCTCTTCAGTGCTCTGACACTGCAACAGAACAAGTTCTTTCTCATGTCCAGGTGAAACTTCTTCTGTTTCAGTTCATGGCCACTGCTCCTCATCCTGGGGCTGCCCACTACTGAAAAGAGTCACGCACTTTCCTTCTGGCACCTGCCCCAAACCTCCAATCAGCTCCCTCCACCACCTCTCCTCTTCTTCACCTCTGTGGGCTCATTCTCCTAGGAAGAAACTGCTTTCACCCTCCACAAGCACAGTGGTCAATGGGAGTGGGAGACACCGGGCTTTGCTCCCAGGGTATCAGACCTCACTGCTCCCCAAACTCCCCCCACCTAGGGCTCCCCAACCCTGTGGGTCTGCTGGTGCCGGAAGAGCGATGAGCTCGCTCTGAAGCCCTTTCCACACTCAGCACAGACGTAGGGATGCCTCCCGGTGTGGATGCGCAGGTGCCTGGTGAGGTGGCCACTCTCTCGAAAGCTGACCCCACAGTGGGCACAGGCGTAGGGCCTCTCCCCGGTGTGGACCCGCTGGTGCCGGATGAGCTGCATGTTGTCAGAGAAGCTTTTCCCGCACTCAGCACACTTGTAAGGCTTCTCCCCAGTGTGCACCCGCTGGTGCCGGACAAGCTGTGAGTTCTCGGAGAACCTCTTCGGGCACTCGGCACACTTGTAGGGCTTCTCCCCAGTGTGGGTTACCTGGTGCCGGATCAGCTTTGAGCTCACGCTGAAGCTCTTGCCGCACTCTGAGCACTCATAGGGCTTGTCCCCGGTGTGGACCGGCTGGTGTCGTATCAGGGCTGACCTCTCGCTGAAGCTCTTCCCGCAGGTCCTGCATACGTAGGGTTTCTCCCCAGTGTGGACCCGCTGGTGTCGTGTCAGGGTTACGGACAAGCTGAAGCTCTTCCCGCAGGTGCTGCACTCGTAGGGTTTCTCCCCCGTGTGCACCCGCTGGTGCAGAATGAGCTTCGCGGTCTGGGAGAAGCTCTTCCCACACTCGGCACACTTGTAGGGCTTCTCCCTGGTGTGGACCCACTGGTGTCGTGTCAGGGCTGAGTTCACGCTGAAACTCTTCCCGCAGGTTACGCACTCATAGGGTTTCTCCCCAGTGTGCACCCGCTGGTGCAGGACGAGCTGAGAGTTCCTAAAGAAGCTCTTCCCGCACTCAGCACACTTGTAGGGGTTTTCCCCAGTGTGGGTTACCTGGTGCTGGATCAGCTTCGAGCTCACGCTGAAGCTCTTCCCGCAGGTCCTACACTCGTAGGGTTTCTCCCCAGTGTGCACCCACTGGTGCTGGATTAACTGCGAGTTGTCAGAGAAGCTCTTCCCACACTCGCCACATTTGTAAGGCTTCTCCCCGGTGTGGGTTACCTGGTGCCGGATCAGGTTCGAGCTTTCTCGGAACCTCTTCCCGCACTCGGGGCACTCGTAGGGCCGCTCCCCTGTGTGGATCATCTGGTGCTGGACGAGTTGTGACCGCCACTTGAAACTCTCCCCACATTCGGTGCAGGAGAAGGGTTTTTCTCCAGTGGGGATTCCCTGATGCTGGATGAGGTTGGAGCTCACCTGGAAACTCTTCCCACACTCCCCATGTATCGTCAGTTTCCCCATGGAAGGGTTTCTCTGCTGGACAACATCCGGCACCCTCCTGGAGCTTTTTCCACACAGTGCCGCTCGGCTTGGCCTCTTCCCCAGAGAACTCTGAATCCTTTCGGACCTGCGTGGCAGAACAGGGTCCTGTGCAGGACCCTGGGAACTGTTCTCCTCGGAGAGTCCTGAGCAGAAACCCTTGGGCTCCACTGGCCGGGGGATGTCTTGATGGGCATTGTCTTCATTTGTGCTCACAATCCCACCATCAGCTGCAATAAAATGAGAATTCAGACAAGTCACAGGCAGGAATGGAAGCTTTGGACAGGGCAAATTGCAAGGGGCCAAATGCTAAAAATTCAGCACGTAGATTGACTTTAAGTATAAAACATTCTGCTATATCCTGCATTCAGGACATGGTATTTCCCTTCAAACTACACAGTGGATTTTTCAGAGTGTTCACAGGAGCAAATGCCGCAAATTGCCCTGCATGCTTCACCAGAACCTGAATCTAATGGCAAAAGTTTACTGCTTGAATTAATGGACAGATGACAAGAGGACAGGCTGGGGAAGACCTGGCACAGCCTTTGGAAAGATATATCTCACTTCACAAACCACTCAGAGTTCTTCAGAGATGTTCCCAGCTTTATCAAAAGGGACATGTGGGGTCCAGAGGCATTCCCAAAAGACATTCATCCTTCGCTAAAACTGGTAAAGAAGCTAAGCTACTCTGGCATGAACGAACCTCACAGGGCAGTAAAAAAGGGAAAAGGAGGTGGAAACATTTGCTAATGTTTTTGTGTTCCTCAGGGTTAAAGACAAAAAACCTGACTACAAACTGTGGCACAGCCTTGAAATACTGAACAACCAGGTGACAGGGGACATTCACTGCAAGTAAACAAAGACCCGGAGAGGAGAAGAGCCTCTACAGCTTGCACTTACACCAAGCTGGGATTAGGATGTTCTAGATATCGTTCCAGAATAGCACCTTGGAGTCTGAGCAGCTGGATGAAAACTGCAGCTCCTAGGCACACAATACAGCCAGTCAAGCATCAATAAGTGCTGGGGGGAAAACAATAGAGAGGAAAAGAGAATGTAATTCTGCCTTGCTTCTCAAACCCCGCATTCTGACTGCGTGCAAGGGGGAGGACAGATCCCCCATGTCAGAGACACTCTGGCAGAGCTGAGGAAGACAGAGGCATGACAGGAACCATCAGAGGCACAGAGCAGCTTCTGTATAGGAGATGAGTCAACTGCCCATTCTGCTGGGAAAAGGTACAGCTGATAGTGGCTATCACAAAGGACTATAAAAACACAAGTGGCCTGTGGGGTGGTTTGGCATCTATCCTGCACCATCTAGTCTGAATTAAGAACTCGTGCCAGCAGGAAAAGGCACTTTCAAAACAAACTAAAGGAGGCTGCAACTCATAAATCACCTAAATAAGCTGGGGAACTCCTTGCTTGCTGCAAGCTGCTACGGCTGCTACAATGTGCCCAGCTTGAGAAGGCAAGAAGATAGATCTTGAGACATTATGGGCCTAGTTCAGGAGCTTCTGAAGCCACAGACGGCTCAGGCCTGTGAAAGGATACAGGGACACATCACTGTTTGTCTGCCCTTCTCTGGGTCTTGATCAAAGGCTGGGCCTGCTGCCTGCTGTATGAGGAAAGGCTGAGAGAGCTGGGCTTGCTCTGCCTAGAGAACAGAAGGCTCGGGGGAGACATGATCACCACAGTCCAGTATTTAAGGGTGCCTACGAAGAAGACGGGGGCTCCCTTTTCACAAGGAGTCACATGGAAAAGACGAGGGGTACAAGTTACTCCTGGGCAGATTCTGGTTGGACACAAGAGGAAAAGTTTTCCCAGTGAGAACAACCAGCCATTGCAATAATCTCCCCAGGGAAGTGGTGCACTCCCCAGTGTTGGACGCTTTAAAGACTCAGCTGGACAGGGCACTGGGACATCCAGTCCAGGTCATGCTTTGCCTGGAAAAGTTGTACTGGATGATCCTTGAGATCCCTCCCAGCCTGGTGCCCTGTGGCGCTATGAATACCGTCGCCACAGGCAGCAGGTGAAGCTGGACGGTCCCTGCTCCAACCCAGCACCTCCGCCCTTGTACATTCTGGGGGCGCTGGTGCTCCCGGAGCACTCTTTCTCATGACGGGTTCACACTGACGGCCCTTACCTGAGGTGCCGCTCAGAGCACTCTTCCCTTCGCAGGAGCGGGACAACCGCAGTTCCTCCTTCTGATCCATGTGGATGAGCATCTCCGGCGCCGCTCCGGGGAAAGAAACGAAGAGGGTCAGGCCAGCTGGGCTTTCACCGACCGCTACCAGCGGCGCGGCTCGGGAGCTAGCGGCTCCGCGACGAGCAGGGACCCCGGCTCCAAGGGGCGTGCAGCGGAAAGCACCGGGCCCCGCAGCACGCCCCTGCCAGGGAGGCTCACGCGGCCGCGGGGGGCGGGCTTCCGGGCCAAGCCCTACCGGGTCAGGCCCCGCTCCCTGCGGCCCGGCCAGGCCCGCCCTCAACGCCTGGGCCGGCGCACCAGGGGGGTGCTGCCCCGTGACGGCAGCGACCAGCGACGGGCGGTGCTTTCGCCTCCACGGCCGGAGGGAGATGGCGGCGCTGGGCTTCCGGTGGCGATGGTGCCGTCCTACGGTGGGGCTCCCCCCGCGGGCCTGCCGGTACCGAGTGATATAAGGAAAGCAACTGCCTGGAAAACATAGGGTTAAAATACTTTTAACTTCACTTAGGTCTGAGATAAAGAACAATGTTTGAGTTGTATGTCTGTGGTGTCATAACAGAATTTAGTAGTCTTACTAACAAGAGTGAACTATTTCTTACCATCCTTCTAATTATCAGTTAGTTTGGGGACAGGGACTCCCGAACATCTGCTAGCTTAGGATACTCCTTGTCTGCCCATCCTGTTCTGCTTGCAGTATTTCCTGCCCTTGCCTTCCGCGGGTATGAGAGGATACTGGACTGCCTGGAGGGGTGTCTGATTCGGAATCCCCACTTTCCTCTTGTGGTGGTTCCTGTCTCACAGGTGGTTTATAATATTCTGGTAAATCCCCACCTCCAGAGTGCCCTGCCTTTCCCAGTCTGCTGCTCTCTACTATTCTGTACTACATCTCTGCTCTATACTATTGATGCGCGGATAAACGCCACAACTCGTTAAAAGTTGTAAAGTAGGTATGCTTTTTATTCAGCGCTGAGACGCATAGGGATAATTCCTCAAAGATATGCGTGTCTCAGTGTTGTTTCCCTCTACATTTATTCTCTAAAGTTATATATATTCATGAGGTTACACAATACGCCTATACATATTCATTTCCTATCCCCGCTTCGTATTATAATGAGCCAGAAGGTCCTCTGCGCCTGCGCAGTGCCCCCCTCCGGTCGTGGGCAGGGGTCTCAAGATGAAGTAAATGAGTCTTCCTCTTCTGGGCAGGGGTCTTCAAGATGAAGTAAATGAGTCTTCCTCTTCTTGCACTTTTCACCTTTTCTAGTCTTTACATGTGGCCTTAGAGTTTAGTCATTATCCCAGCCGTAAATTCTCTGCTTCTCCCCTTTATCAGTAGAGTTTGGTCAGTTTCCCAGCCATAAATCCTCTGCTTTTCCCTTTATCAGTAGATTCAGGCATCTGCTCATTAACAGGACCTGAGGTTTGAGGCATCTGCTCATTAACAGGACCGGAGGCCTCTGTTTTGCTTAGCAGGCATTTACAACAGATAGTCTATTTGTTTAAACAAATTCCTCTAGCAAACAAATTCCTCTAACCCCCTTGCACAATTCCCCGTCCAACCCCCCTGTACTACAACCCCTGTACTACCCCCCCTGCACTACCCCCCTGTACATTGGTCAACCCTTTGCATCAATCCCCCCTTTTCTTTTAAAAGTTAGTAAATTCTTTTACTATATTATTCATGACAGAGCTATCCATGTTCCTTTTATCGACTTATGAAGTGATTCTGATATAGACTGTATTATACGAGGTACAATCGTTAAAATGAGTAATCCTATAGCCATAATTAAAAGGCCTTGTTTCAGTATGTCCCTGAACCATCCAGTAACTCCTAAGTTATTTAACCACTCATCCAATCTGCCTCCAACAATTCTAAGCTCTTGCATATTTTCCTGCAATTTTCGCAGCTTAGCATGAATTGATTCAGAATGGTCAGATAAGTTCATGCAATACATGCCTTCGAAATCCTCACAACCATGTCCATGAGCCAATAATAAAAAGTCAGTTGCTGCTTGGTTTTGTAAAGATGCATGTCTTAAGTTATATTTAATTGCTTAGCTGCCCAACATGCCAAATGATGTATATCTGCCAATGCTTTCCCCGCATCTACATTTGGTACAAATAATGCCACCAAAAATCTTGCTGTGTGATTCCAGATTAAAGTGGAATCGCAATTCGGGCCTAATTGCCCAATGGATCGTTTGTTTCTGCGGAGGTTGTCCTTCATGTCCTGGACTAAATGCCTTTTGGAGGCTGCAAACAGGGACAATTTACCTAGATAACATGGTCCTCCAAAGGGTTTGGTAGGAATCCCTGGCCATGCACGGTCTCCACATATCAAGAAATATCCTGGGGGTAGAGCTTTAGGTATTGTATCATACCATGTCTTCCCACTAGTTACCTTGGTCTTAGGGACTTTGCTTGACCATGTATTAAGTTATAAAGCTCTGAGTAGTCTTGTCAGATCCCAAGAGTTGGAGTAATTTAAGTTTTTTCCATTTGCACTGATGCAACTGTCCAGTCGGTTCCATGAGCTCTCTGGACCATTTTGATCACTGTGCTAGGATTTAGAATCGAGTCATTCCTAACCCATCCCCGAAAATCAAAGGGGTTCAAGTATGGTATACCAATTAGGCACGTTTGAAAGGGATTTTCCACCTGTGCCAAGGTCGGACAAAAATCAGTAATCCCAGTCTTGTTTGCCCATGTGAGCCAGACATTCGTATTTGAACCCAGTATTGAAGTTTCTTTTTTCTATGGCTTGGACCATGGTACAGGTATAGGGGATTAATATCAATAATCGCTCCGTTTTAACTATTCTACTTAACTATATATGTTGATTACAATTGCAACATCGTATTGACACCCATGAATCACTCTATTTTTTTGTTTGTTTGTTTTCCCAGATTGACCAGAAATTTTAGGAGATAAACTTCTCCCACTTCCAGAAGACTTTCTCCTTTAAACTGGGACCGATATGGTCTTCCACATAAAATTTTTACATAGGATAGCCTCTGGTACTCCAAAACCTACAAGGGAATGCTTCTGGCCACCCTAAAAAAGTATTCGTTAACACCCTTCAATTTGTTCATATGTATAAAGACTTGCTATCTCAATGAGTTTTATTATGTTCCTCCTGAACTACCATCCAGAGTTGGTTACAGGGGATTATAATTCACCCATCAAGTATCTGAACCCAATCTTCTTTGTTTTCCTCTCCTCCTCTGAGATCTTCAATAAATTTTCTATCCTCCTTTGATTTTCTAGGTTTAGATTTCTCAATTGTTAGTTTGCCGTCAGGGATTAAGGGAATGAGTTTAGATTGTTAAAATCAGCCAAATTTCATCTTGTTGATATCCTTGACAACACATAATAGCTACTTCCTCAGGTAGCTGAACAGCTCTCAGTAGTCGTAGCATGTTTATTCTGTTTCTCCTGTGTGTTCAAAGGTCCTCGTTCTTTCCAGATGGCACCATGTGCATGGACCACAGCAAATGCATATTTAGAACCAGTGGCCTTCTTTCTGTTCCAGGAATGCTGATACAACACAGGACACTAGTACAGTAAGCAGGCCTCTTCAATATTCATGACAACTGCTGTCACAGCTCATACGCATTCGGGCCATCCTTTGCTCACTTCATTCAGCTGTTTTGAAAAATACACCACTGTTCTCTTACAGGGTCCTAGTTTCTGAGTAAGGACCACCAAAGCTATTCCCTGTTCTTCATAGGAATATAGCCAAAAGGGTTTAGTCACATCCAGAAGTCAGAGCTGCAGCTCTCATTAGCTCTGCTTTTAAATTTCTAAAGCCCTCCTCTGCTGAATCAGTCCATTCCAAAGAGAGAGGGGTTTCTTTTAACAGTTCACATAGGGGTCTTACCAGAACACCATAATCATGTGTCCTGGGTTCAGCAGTAGCAGTCATGTTTCTCTTCCTTGGTAGCTGGTGCAGTGCAGTGTTTTGACTTTCGGCTCGGGAACAGAGCTGATAGAGATGTTTTGGTTTGGCCAAGGACTTTGTGAGCCTCATGCTCTGCCAGGGAGGAGGGGAAGCTGGGAGGAAGCAGAGACAGGACACCTGACCCAAACTGACCAAAGAGCTATTCCATACCACAGCACGTCATGCCCAGGATGTAACTGGGAGTTAGCCGGAAGGGCTGGGAGACTGCAGCGTTGGAGGAGGTATCGGTCGGTGCTTGGTTGGGCTTGGGGGGCGAGTTATCGGTCGGCTGGTGCTGAGGTGTTGTATTCTCTCCCTTGTTATTTCCTTTATCATTATTATCACTGGTGGTAGCAGTAGTGATTTGTGTTATACCTTAGTTACTAAACTGTTCTTATCTCAACCCGTGGGAGTTGCATTCTTTTCAGTTCTCCTCTCCATCCCTCTGAGAGCAGGGGGAGGGCAAGAAAGGGGGGGAAGTGAGCGAACGAATTACCTGACTGGGTTTAAACCACGACAGTTCTTTTTTGGCGCCCAACGTGGGGCACGAAGGGTTGAGATAACGACAGATTTGACTGGATTAATAGTCACTCGTCACAATGCTGATTTATTGGGTCTCAGAGTTGTTCTTCTTGATCTCACAGCTTCAGACCGTTGTAACTTACATAGAGCCGGTATTTGCTGTGATAGTGTTTATCAAGTGTGGGGCCTGGGCTAAGGTTCTTGTCTCACTGTGCTTTATGGCAATGGCTTGTAATACGGGTGGGCTCCAGCAGCAGGGCGGGACGGACGTGGCCGTGGACTTGTACCTGGCCGTCCGGCTGCTCTTCACCGTCCTGGCCCTCGCCCTCGCCTCCATCTTCGTGAGGCTGCGGGGAGCCGAGGGGGAGCGGCCCCGGGAGCCGGCGGCTGCTGAAGCGGCCCGGGAGAGCGGCCCCGGGGACCAAGCGGCGGCGGGAGCGGGGCCGGAGGCCGCCAGGGGACGGCTGCCGGTGGAGGAGGCCGGGGCGGTCGAGGAGCAGAAGGAGGCGGCTGCCGAGCAGCGGGAGAAGGCGGCGGAGGAGCCGAGCCCCGCGGAAGAGCCGAGCCCCGCGGAGGAGCCGAGCCCCGCGGAGGAGCCCAGCCCCGCGGAGGAGCCCAGCCCCGCGACGGCCGAGAGCATTCCCCGGCAGCCACCCGCCGAGCCCCAGGAGGATGCAGGAAACCACGCAGCACTCCCCAGCACGGCAGAGGA